TTTTTTGCAGTAAATCTACGTTTGAGTTTCAACGATATCATTGGATTGTGATAAATAGCTGTCTTTTACTGAAATCTTATCAATATTTTAAACTATTTTAGAACTAAATTTTTAATGAAATATATGTATGAGAGCAAAATGACGTTTATTAAATCTTTATATACCTCTAACGATGAATATTATCTACATGGATGAGCTTATCTGTAAAAAAGTACTCCTTGTTTGAATATCTTCAAGGTACATTTCAAGACAGATAATAATAGAGAGGATGCTGAGTTTATTATAGGTTGATAAAAAACAAGTGCGTTTATATTCTCTCATTAACTTTTCTAATAAATCATGCCGTTTATCAACTAAAAGGGAGACAAATCGATTTGAGTTTGAATTCCTTTTTATCGTACCGTGATTTAAAGTATCGAAGTTGTTGCGATACATTCCCATAACAAAAAATAGATGAAAAGTCTAATTGAAAACAAGAACTAAAGTATTCTGGACACCGATATCCTTAGGGAAAATTTGAAGATCGCAGAATATAAACTTGTGGCAGATGGCGCCTCGCAAATACCACTGCTAATCTACATTTCACTGCGCATTTTCGAAACCGCGGTCATGAACGGTGATCACGTCGTGGTTTGTTTTCAACATACCGCGATATATTTATGTTGCGCTGCACCACACCGCTGTTAACCGCGGTTTCTTTTCGACACAGCGACCTTCAACGATATAACCGCAGCCATTATGAAAAAACCGCGACGATCAGCGGTATCTGTTTTAAAATTTTTTCGTGGGTGAAAATGGATGTTAATAAGTCGTGGCTAGTTAATGAAAAACTAATAACTAATTAAGCAACACTAACGTCGGATTCGTGATCCTCGACCTCGATTACCCTTCGGTCAACCCTTATAAAAAAGATTTTCTCTCAAAAAAAAGTGATCCATTGTCCCAAAAAACGAAGCGAAAAGTTTTTTCGAAAAACTAATCACCGATTCGTGATCCCTGATCCCGATCACCTGTCATCAGTCATTTTCTAATGAGGTTGGTTAAGTTTTCATTGATTTATGAAATGTTGCAATCTGATTGGATTATGCAAACAAAGAAACTTATTGCATTTTAGTGGCCTGATTTATGACGCTATAACCCTTTCTTTCAGAAAAGGGAATAAAATGAAAAACACTAGCAGAATGTTATAAATTACACGTCAGAATTTTAACAGCTATAGCTTACGAAGACCAAGGACTAATGTGATAATGACGCAAATTGTGTTAGATTAGCTAGCAATCAACTATGGATGATGTTAACACGCATATATTTCGAATTCGAAGACAATTACTGCAATCTGAAATTATTGCATCACATAGGATTATTTCATAATTGAGTATACTTACGGTGATATGTACATAAAGTGCGTATTGATAGTATTTTTCCGTTCATATTACAAAAGCAAACTGATTTACATATGCACAGTCAATGGAGTCGTTTGGGTTTTACTCAGCAGCATGAATCAGTGAAGCATGGTATTTCACACATACGTCATAATGAGAGAGAACGGAGCAATTTATTTCACACATGTTTATTTTTCTTAGTAATACTTTTCCTATTATGATATCGCTGATATACAAATATCTCGTATATTTAGTTGTTCTCCATTTCATATCTCTATTCCTTTCTCAGTAGCGCACAGATAATAATACAGCTTAAGCCAGCCACTTCACCGATATCTATGGACATCAATATGTGCGCCCACCGAAATTATATACACTTTTGAGGAAGCTACATTAAACAAAAAACTAAACACAGTGTTGTTGTATAGAATAAGAAAAATACACGATATCAGCTAATCTTTATTCATTCTAGCTAAGAAAAATGAGCGTTCTCCTTTGAAGTAAGGTAACATTTACTCCAAGATCTGTTCTAAATACTCAACCATACATCAACACTGCTTGGGTAGCTTTGATCGCCATGGTTGTATAACCAAAAAGATATTGTATAAGTTTCGCCGATAGTTGTAGGAAATGTCTGATAGAGATAATCAACATTTCCCACTCCACAATTGACATAATAATAAGAGCCACTTTTGGAAGTATACGTATAGCCCATGTTTGAAAAATAGGCTGAATTCGATTTGATTTGACCACCCCATGTGATTCCGTATGGATTACAGTAACTCCATCCTGGAAAAGCACCTGTTTCAAAACCTGGATTACTAAGAAGTTCGGTACCAGGTGAGGAATTTTGCTTAACAGAAACATTATCAAGCGCGAAGCAGCCACTATCTTCACGAAGAGCAAATGAAATACGAGTTGTACTTGCTATGGCTACGTAAGTCGACGTATACTGTACATAAGGATCTACATCGGAGCAGGTAGTACAATGATAAGCCACGGTAACACTTTGCCAAGATGATGTGCATGAATTTTGAGGAATCGCTGAAAACAAAGGCAAAGACAAGTCACATGATCTTTATAGTCAAACACCAACTTACAGATCGTAGAAGCTGCTGTCGTTGTTGTTACTGAAGTGCTTATCGTCGTCGTTGCTGAGGTGGTCGTCTCCGTAGTAGCTGTAGTGCTTGTCGTTGCTGTAGACGCTAATCATGAGATAGCATTAAAGTAAAAATATAAAACTACCAGGTATATTCTGGCTTACTGCTCGTTGTACTAGTGGAACTTGTTGTTTCTAACAAGATACTGGCAATTTAACAAAATACAAAGGTTCCATATTTTATCCTTTTACCTGATGTAGTTGTAGTGTCCGACGTTGTGGATGTGCCTACAAAAAATCGAGAAAACTCATATGTCTATATATTCACTCTCTGCTAACTTGTGCTAGATGTACTGGACGTGCTAGTACTTGATGATGATGTTGATGTGGACGTAGCTAAATTACAGTAAGTTAGTGAACAACAAAAACTGAGAATAAATGGAAAAGATATACTTGTCGTTGTGGTAGAGTGTTGTTTCATAATTATTAGCAAAGCAATTAGTATTGCCAGACCGACAAGAAGCAAACCCAAGATAAGACCTATTGTTAAGCAACAACAAGGCGAACAACATGGACAACAAAATGCGAAAAATCCGCCACGCCGACGACGTCGCCGCCGTTGCGATTTCTCTTTTTCTTTCGTATATTTATAAGCCATCCATCGATAATCATTAACGAATTGATAGTGATTGGTTAATCTGGTTGGACGCTCTTTCATTATATCATAACTGATACATGACGTGGTTACAGCACTACTTGAAATAGTATCATTGACTCCTGACATACATTCTTTGTCAATATATTCACGATGGTGAAATTCCGTATGAGAATGCATCGGAGAACCTTCCACCTGTAATCTTTTGTATTCTGATGGAGTACCATTCGGTAGGATTGGTATTGATTTCGTGGAATCGGTATTTTCAATCAATATTCGGTCATCACTGGTTGGTGAGATTCGTGTTGTATGAGAACTTCTCGTCTTTCGTACTTTCTATAGGTAGAAATGACTTTGAGAATCAAAATAAAAGTCTAACTAATTACAGTGCTTCGATAACTATGTTTGTTTGAATATGAGCTACGATGTGGTCGATAGCTTTCGACGCGAATCACTCGGACCATTATGAGAATTTCGTTTGGCTATATGAATAACTCTTGTCATCTGCTTTAATAGTTTTTGATATAATTATCATATGCACCTAATATCATAAGGATTCTGTAGCAATCATATGAAGATGTATTCTATATATTACGATGCAAATGAAAAGCATGCCTAAGACATCGTTTGTGTGTGTGTAATTACATTTATAAAGTATAGACAAGTCATTTTAGCGCAGCTTTTCTAAAGGATTTTTGAAAGCTGCCATTCGAACTAAAGACACTGCTTTAGGTGTAATTGTTTGAGGGTGAGGGTGCCGGTGTTGGTAAAAGCATTCTCGGAATCCACACTCATTCTTTTACCGTAATCGTCAAATATGCACCGGTATCACCGTTCACCCATTCTTTAGACGGCAAATAAGTGAAAGGAATCATAGAAAAGAGAATACCGAAACCATAAAAAAGAAAACAAAGAAATCCGAAAAAAGAGAATACAGGAATCGTAAAAAGAGAACAAAAATATCGAGGGAAAACGTAAGTTTCTTACCCGTAAACACACACACAACATTTTTTTTCATTTCTCGCTACATACATAGGATGCTATAAAAGTCCTTTTATTTGACCTCCCTAACAGACTTGAACGAAAACTAACTATACTGCTATAGTGCCCAGATATATCAAGAGTCATGTTAAAAATTTCGGACTTTTAAACCTAGCGTTCTGTTTTAATCTCACATTTCTGCTGTACCAGATTTTCGATATGAAATACAATTGGGTTTAATGACCACATGATGCAGTGCCTGAAGCTTTACAGTTTATATCAGATTTTATTTCTAATAATTGCATGGTTTTCTTTCAAAACGGAGAAATTTCCAAGCAATGGAATAGTGATGTTACAAAAAAATATCACGAAGAAAAAGTTTTTCTCGTCTGCATAGACTGAAGCGGTTTTGAAATTTTTTCTTTTGTCATATTTTGTTCTTATTTACTATCATATACTATACAATAAAAGAAAGAAAGGAAGGAAGAAAAGTGTTCTTTTTACAGAAAAGAAAAATCGGGTTGTTGCATAGTCGCACGATGTAATTCAAAATTTTTGTCTTTTTGAAAGCAGAATCGGCAATTGTAATTGAAATAATCGTACTTAACTTGTAGAGATACATGTACTGCAGCGTGTAATGAAGTGTGTTTTTTCGAGACAACTTACTAAAAAATTGAATATTCAAACACTAAAGGCGACTATGTATAACTCACACTACCAGTTAAGACGTATACGAGATTAAAATCGAGCGCTAGACTTAGCAGTCTGAAATTTTTTACATAACCCTAGATATGCCTAGTCATCATATAAGTATCCAACGAGAGGAGCAATGAGACTTCTCCACATTTTGTTTTTTTTTCATTAATGAGTCTTTATCATAAACTTAGCAAGTAATAGATTGTTGTACTTTGAGCATNCGACTATGTATAACTCACACTACCAGTTAAGACGTATACGAGATTAAAATCGAGCGCTAGACTTAGCAGTCTGAAATTTTTTACATAACCCTAGATATGCCTAGTCATCATATAAGTATCCAACGAGAGGAGCAATGAGACTTCTCCACATTTTGTTTTTTTTTCATTAATGAGTCTTTATCATAAACTTAGCAAGTAATAGATTGTTGTACTTTGAGCATTCCGATGATAACCTGTTGCACAAAATAGAAAAGTCTTTTTTTATCGAATCTCCAGTACATCACATATCGACCTCAATATATACGTTCTCCAACTTCGCATTCGTAGTGCATTTAGACGGTTTCTTGCTGCATGCAAAGAGCTAATGTTTATAGTTGTTTTTAAATATCAAGTAATTTTTGTCTTTAGATGCGGTGGGCTTTAGTGGTGGTAGCTGCTTATGGATTATTTGTCGCCTTGATCGTAAGGTTTATGCCATCAGATCGTATGCAAATCGATATTCCCGTAAACCACAAATATTCGGACCAAGCACGGAAGATCATGAAAAATGAACGGTTTCAATCAATCCACTCGAAATCCACGGCGTCACTCGAAATTGTCCAGAATGAAAATCTCAATACTTACATACAGTTACTCCTGGAAGAACATAAGAATTCTGGCAAAGAAATATATAACTTTATTGCGCGAATTCCTCATACCCAAGCGGGCCAAAAAATTTTTACAATAGCGCCGACTGGATGGCAAAGCTCTTATTCGCTTGTCCTCATTGCACACAAGAAATACGACGATTATCATAAAATTCTTCTTTCCAGCGTATCTAGAGAAGCGACAATATCGATTTGGAGCAAAATATTTTCGCCTCTTAAGCTGTTATTCGGTATGACGGTGAGTGATCATCAACAAATCGAAGAAATCCTTGCAGGTTCATATAATAACCAAAACAAAGCAATGTTACACCAGATGATGACGTATATAATGACTGATCACATTCAAGCTCATTTCGATAATGATGTGCAAATTAATTTTGTAGTGAACAAGAATTTGCTCATGTGAACCCGAACGCCTATTTCTTATCCGCTCATACACGTAACGCTTTCATTTTTCGATAAACATTTCCTCTCTGTTTGTGTGAATATTTCATTATTACCGACCACTTCTGCAATACACAGTGCCACTACAAACTTAATTTCAATTCCTTTGAGTATTGTTGGATAAGGTTCCCTTCATCGTTTAATGTCCATAGCTTTGGAACAGCTTTTACCGTTCAGTAATAATCTATTTAGTAGAATCGCATCTGTTTTACCGTTGATTTATTATTAATAAAAAAAGTAAAACTTTATTATGATTCATAAATGAGTTGAGAATCACAGATTGAATAAACGTTTCACCTCGCTCTCTGTAAACCATTTCTTCAAATTATCTCCTGAAATAACTTCTTCTTCGGCTCGTTCATGTTCGTTCACCAGCTTTGATACTTTGTCGACAAGCAATGTGGCTTCGTTGACAATAGGAGTAACATCTTCAGAAGTTTTCAATTGTTTGAGACGTCGAGAAAAACTGTCGAATTCGTTTAATAACTGAGCAAGTTGTTCGTGGTGAGCTTCTAAATGCGAAATATCGATTTTTGCAGCAAGTTTAGGAAACAAATGCTGATCTTCAATTGTATGATGGTTGTGAAG